AGGACAATGTACAAACCTAATTAGTTTGGGGTAAAAATCTGTTCATATTAATTCCCTAATAAGCATAATAATTCATAATTTTTTGGTTCTAATCACATTTCAATTAAACTTGGAGACATAGATTTTCTGTTACATTGCGCAGACCTCATTAGTTTTACACTCAAATCTGGTCATATTAATTTTCTGATTTGCATAATTAGTTTTCAGCTAAGTAATTTCGAATTATATTTAATGTGTCTCCAATACTCTCAGCACATGGGAGTTCTTTCTAAGCTTTCTTTGATTTTACCTTGGCAGCATCTTTTTCTTTTTAATTTAATTTTAGAAGTGATTGTTATACATATATACTTAAAGCATTGGTATACACCACCATGTGATATTGAAATATTGCAAAACGTTGGAGCTCCCAACTACTGAGAAAAGAAGTTATAAAACAAATATGGTATAGAGCAGCAGTGAATGGATTGATCGCAGGTCTTATCGATAATTATAAAATATTGAAACCAATATTGCTATAATTTGATGGAACCATTGTTTCACATTTCACAGCTTTATCATGTTATCATTCTTTGACACTGGGGATTACATGGAATGCTACCACTTTGCCGAAATGATATTACGGAGAAGATATATTCTAGAACTAAGTGACTGAACTGATAATGTTCTTCTGTGGAAACTGCAGCACTAGCTTTCTTTAAGCATTATGATGCTTGTTACATTGTAATGAAATATTAGTTCGCCAGAATTTGCAGGAAATCAATATCGTTTTTAGTGTTACCATGGATACTGGTTCTGAAGTCAACTCTGGAAATTTTCTGATTTTGAACTATACTTGTTTTACAACCAGGAATTAATCTTGTCGGAAGCAGTTTTAAATTCAGCACTAACATCCGGTGGTTTGTTACTTCAGCAAGCAAATAACTGGTCAGTCAAAGTAGTATGCAACAAGCAGTAATTCTGGCAGTAAATTTTAGGAGAATTATTGAGGGGGGTGTACTAAATACCCTCATGTAGTCAGAATGAGAAATGCAGTTAAGAAGCCACTAAATTGCCCCTGACCTTTACAGTGATTTTTTTAAGGATGATTTTCTGTTGAGTAATTGGGAGTTTGAAGATTTTTCTATAATATTGCTCAGTTGTAAGAACTTAATGGTATTATTATTAAGTATAAAAACTGTCTTACATATAAAATTAGCTATTTGCATATTGTATACCTCTTAAACCACTTACATATCTTCCTTAAATCCGATTGTTTATATCTAAAAATATATTTGCATATTGTATTACAGATTTCAAACCTTATACTTTCCAAAGTGAGTTTTGTATACCTAATTAGATTATTTGCATATTGTATTACAGCTTTGTAACCTCATACCTCTTTCCTAAATCCCATGAATTGATTATCTATGCATGAATAATTTGATAATTTGCATATTGTATTACCCTTTCAAAAACATGTACTTACTTGTAAGTGATTATTTTTTGTTTGTTTTTATTGAAGTCCATAGTATATAAGATACAATCTTACAGTGCTTTGAATAAATAGAATTACATATGTCTGAGAAACCTTCAACAAATATACATTTTATATAATATTGTCAACTTAATGCATTTGTTTTTCTAATAGGTCAAGAAATTTACCCCATTTTTTCAGATGAATTTTGATCTTTTGTTTGCAATTACATATTATAATAATGTTTATTGTCTTTTAGGCCACAGGGCCATATGACTATACATAACAGAAAAACAAAAGAATACACAAGCACTGGAGAATGTACAGCAATTATATATATATATATATATATATATATATATATATATATATATATATATATATATATATATTTTACAACAAAATTCTTATATCGAAAGTAACGAAAACTCCCTTCTAAGGTTGAATGCTTTATGTAGAAATTTACCAAGATTACGTAGTACCTTTGCGGATTTTGAGCGCATTAGACTGTAATATTTTTCTGAATTGGGAAGATGCCAAAAATACTCAGGAATTAACTGTTTTCACATAGAGTGAAATAATGGGCAAACAAGAACAAAATAGTACTCGTCCTCTACATTAGATAAACAAAATTTGCATATTCTTTCCAACCCTGTATAGCGCCCCGCTTCAATGCACAACCTATGACTAGAACAGCGAATACGTGCTAGAGCATGTCTGTGTTTAGCCTCTGTGACTACAAAAAGATATCTTTCTGGTTCAAGCATGGTTTTAAAACTACAATATGACCTTATTTTAGCAGTGCAACATACTTCACTGTACCAATCCTGTCTATGAATATCAATTACCCGCTGCTTGAACTGTACCAAAAACAGGTTTATATCCCTGGGATATCCAAACCATACCAAAGCCGTATATGAAGTATATTTTTAATTTCATTGGCCCATGATGTCCTTCCATTTTCATCTATTTTATACATAAGTCTGTAAGCATGCTTTACAACCCTCCCTTCAGGAAGTTCTGTGACTCGTAACCAGTATTTTATACATTTTAACAAGGAGTTTACAAAAATGGGTAACATTTCCCAAGTACGGCTTCAGTACATGTTTTATCACCAACCCCAAGAAAATGTTTACAAAATTTCAACTGCACTCTTTCAGCCTGAATATATTGCTTAAAGCCCAAAATTTCTGCCCCGTACAAAAAATTGGTAAAATTAAAGCATCGAATAGTCTGAAATAAACATCATAATTAAGTATACCAACTTTATACTCAAAACTAAATAAAGAAAACATTGTTTTGCGTGCTTGTGCAGCCAAATTTGCAGCAGCTTTAGACCAGCTGTTTCTACATGACAGCAATAACCCAAGATACTTGTAGGAATTTACAGTTTCAATAGGTTCATCATTCATAAACCATCTTTTTTTAGTTGAGTTATGGCCACCTTTCCGAAACACTACAATTTTAGTTTTCCTTTTATTTACAGTTATTTTCCATTTAATACAAAAGTGTTCTAAAATATTAGAACAATTGAATCAGCAAATATGACTACATCATCGGCATACAATAAAGCAAATAAATCAAACATTTCTTGCGTTAACTGAACCCCCCCCCCCCCCCCTGTATCCCACATTCCCAATCATATTATATAATTCATCTATAAACAAAGAAAAAAGAACAGGACTCAATACACTGCCCTGTCTAACACCAATAGTACAAGGAAAGTAATCAGAAATCCCACCATCAAGTCTGATGCACGATTTGACATCACTGTACATTGACTTGACAATGGTCAACATTTTACCTGATATACCAATATTATGTAATTTGATAAAAAGTCGGCTATGGTCAACAGAATCAAAAGCTCTGGCAAAATCAACAAATATACAGTAAAATTTCCTTCTTTTTTTTTTTTCTAAGATAATTTTGAACGATTGCATACAGACCAATATGTTGTCAACAGAACAAAAACCCTTTACGA